AATACCCAATACCGATTGTCTACCTCACTGATACCTAATGATACCCTACAGATACCATATCGATACCCTACCGACACCCTATCAATACCCAATACTGATACCCAATACCCAATACAGATACCATATCGATACCCTACCGACACCCTATCAATACCCAATACTGATTGTTTACCTCACTGATACCCAGTGATACCCTATCAATACCCCTCCAACAGCCTATTGATACCCTATAACGGCACCATATTGACACCCTATCAATACCTTTACACTGACTCCTTGTTGATGCCTTATGAATATAGTCGCCCAGATTTCTGTTATCTAATATTTATTATAAAATAACTGTTATGAATGTCGCGTTCTGATTGGTTTGGAGCGCGTGCTTTATGAGAGCACATTGCACGCGCGCGCACTTTCCGTTGCTTCATTCCTATCTATTATTGTAATTTGTATTTTATAAAAGAAATAAAAAACTTGCTTGCTGTGCTGTGTGGAGTCATAAAGCACTTGGGGATTGGCAGAACACTCGAGAAGTGTCCAGAAGCACTCCGCTACGCGTCGTGCTTCTCCTAACACTACTCTCGTGTTCTGCCAACCCCCGCGTGCTTTATGACAGCACACAGCACGCGCGCGCGTTTTCTATTTCTTCATGAAATTGGGCTGATCCTCGCAGTATACGAAGCAACTTATGCAGCTGCAAATTGAAAGACTGAGTCTTGAACGGGATTTGAACCCGTGCCCTGGGGGTTCCGTTGCCATTCTCTAAGCACTGAGCTACTGATAATTATGATAATTATGTCCCATTTTAGGAAACAGCATCAGACATACTCGACTCTTCGCAATCAACAACTGAGATGGAACAATTAAGTGATTATGCCACAGCATAGATTAGGGATTATGACAGGTTAGAGATGCTGTGACATTACACCACAATTATTTTTGTATTTATAATCATCATTCATTGATACTTATCCACTTCGTTAATATCAGCGCTAGGCTAGGTTTGGTAGATTAAGGCCCCGTCCACACGTATCCGCAAATTTTTTTTTACGGATACGGGTTGCGTCCACATGTGTCCGCAAATTTTTGTATCCGTACACAAAAAACGGATACGTGTGGACGGTGAAAACGATTCGAATACGCTGCGTGTGGACGCAAACATTTTCGTATCCGCAAAAAATAACTTGCGGATACAAAAATTTCCGGATACGTGTGGACGAGGCCTAATATTTAGTTTGAAAAATTCAGGGGAGGCACATTGTAGGTAGGTTTGTATTTAACAATTATTCGTTGAAGGTGAAGTGATTATCGGGGAATAATAACCGAAAAGAAGTTGAGGTTATTATTCCCGATATTCACTGAG